AGCAGTCAGACCACAATGTTCTCACGTCTCGATTGGTCACCAGATGGACAATTTCTCTTTGCACCGTGCGCAATGAACAATCAGGGTCCTACCGCTCAAATCATCATGCGCAAGGATTGGGACACGGAACTTGATTTGGTGGGCCACCGACGAGTGAGTTTCAAGGATTCCCTTTATTTTTTGTTATTTTTTTTCTTTCTGCGCACTCATACACTCCATATCCCGAACTTATAGAGGGTTTTGCTTGTGGAGGGGGGAGGGAGAGGCGAGAGGGGTTGGGAGATACAACATCAGATTCAATAATTCTCATGCCACCTATTCCCGCTGAGAATTTCTCAAATTCATTACCACCTCCTTTTTACTGACTTCCCCACCTCCACAAGCGTCCACATATCCTAGCTAATCAAATATCACAGTGTTTTTAAAGGAAGTTGGCAGGATAAACCCCTAAGACGAGTAGGATTAATACGCCTAGCTGCACGGATTTCCGCGCCCTGAGCAGGCGCTGCTCAGCGCTTCTCCGAAGGAAGGTACTTTTATAAGGCCCTATCAAGCTGCAACATACCGACCTGGAGTCCACCGCGCCCGCCCGCCCACAAATGGACGACCGATCCTGCTGTTGCTTCATTTGCTGAGTAAAATATGTAGCGAAGGAGTTGGTTTGAAGCGACCGCGGTGCTGCAGCTGCATATATACCATTTTCACTTTAAATCGGACACTTTTCAAACCAAATCGGACACTTTTCAAACCAAATCGGACACTTTTCAAACCAAATCGGACACTTTTCAAATCACTAGTGTCCCTACTGGCGGATTACAAGTTTCCATTTTTTCCCGGTTTTTCCCTTTTTTTTATTCTATGTGCCGGGAGAGGCCGTAATCCGCCAGTACGGACACTAGCCCGCCGATTTGCATCATTTTCGAAAAGTGGGCGGGGCTTCCCCAAAGTGGGCGGAGCTTCCATTGGTGGGCGGAGCCAATCGCTAAAGCCTAAAAAAGCGAAAATCCGGAAGAAAAACCAAAATTCCGCGATAAACACAAGTGGGCGGGGTCAGAGGGGCGGGGCCTGGTGTGCTGTGCATGGTTATTCGTTTTGTATAGCATACGGGATTCTCGAAATGGAGACCAGGGCGTCCAGAGGGGGCGAGGCCTAGTGTGGTTAGGCGTTGATGCGTAGGAGTTAGTTCGAGTTTTAGTGAAGATAATGGCGAGGTGATAGAGATGTAGCAGGTAACTGAACGTCGGCGGCAAAGGAAAATTAGTTTATACGAAAATCAGAAGGCTATACGTAATCTTTCGGTGCTTGAAGGGATGGTCGAGCGGAGTCGGAGATATCTGTATAGTGAAGGGCTATCCAGAGGCCGGTTCTGGCACAAGTGAGGGGGTGTGCTGTGCAAGAGAGCGAAAGATATCAGTGGAAAAGAAAAGGGCACTCCGGAGGAGGTCATAGGGATTTGGCAGATTGTGAATGCGTCCTGCGAAGAACGCCACTGAATCTGCTGTAGAAGATGGGCGGCAGCGCGACAATGGCAAGTGCGCGGAGGCATGCAAGCTGTTATCGAGATCTAGAGCGTGGGAGTTCATAATTTTCAAGCCACGATCTATGGTAAGAAGGGTGTGGTCCGATGAATGAACTTGAAAAAGTGGTCCGAGTTTTGGATCTGAAAAGATGTCCGCACCGTTTGATAGAAAAGGTATGTTACCCGATGGCGTGGTTGCTGATAAGAAGGGGGTGTTGTCCGCGCGAGTTAAAAGCTTGAGAGGAATGGGAGTGAAGTATCGAAAGAGCATTACACTGTGGAGCGGTGTGCCATGGCGCCGTCACGCGGTAGCCTGTGGGGACGAATGACGTGGATGCGTTAGGTGGGGCGGGGTGTGATCGGGGGGGGAGCGTGGTAGTGGTGCCGACAAGGGACGGCGCTCGAACGGGGTTGCCGCCGAGCGCCCCGCCGTCCCGCATATTTGGTACTCTGAGCCATTCTCCAATTTCCCTCTTAGAGAAAAGTCAATGAGTGCTAGAGCTAAAATATGATTATTTTAGGCGGTAACGGCTATTCGAGTATGCCCTCGTCTACTTATCCTTATGTGGATTACAGTGGAAAAACTATCCAGGTAACTTTTATTTTGCTAAGGGATGATATTTGCAGGTCTTCTGGTAGGAATTAGGAAGTGGTTCCGTTGCTGATGTTTTCTTTGAATCGATTTGATCAATTTCCCTGTATATCTCTTTTCTCAAGGTAACTTGCGTAGCAATTGGATCACGCGACAAATCGCTCTCAGTGTGGGTTCTTCCACGAGTGAAACGTCCCGTTGTAGTATTGCAACGTCTGTTTAAACATTCCGTAACGGATATGTCATGGCGTGGCACGGATTTAGTAGTGTCATCTCAGGACGGCTCCATTAAATACCTATCATTTCGAGAGAAAGAACTCGGCACTATGTTATCGCCACAAAAAATGGTGAGTTAATGTTACTTCATTATTTATTTGCTAATATCAGGAGGAAGTTGCGTCACATTTTTTAAAAATCAATTTGCTTGCCCTTACTCTGCAAAGGCGTGGCCGATAATGTGAGCAGTAATGCTCAAGGTAATGCTCTTCCTCTTAGTACCACTCACTTGTTCCCTATTTATTTTTTTGCTATATGGACAAGGATTTCATCCCCTGCAGCTACTCGCCCAAACATAATTCTGCGCTGTTCGACTTTGAGGGGGCATTTTGCATTCTCGCTAGTCTCTTTTGTTCTCTGTTGAAGCAGGTCTCACTAAGAGAATTTTGGTGAGGTTTGTGAACTTCTGTGCAGCTGCGAAATGAAACAAGTGAATCGCATTTGTGGGAAGCGGCGCTCTTCACCACGCGCATAGTGCGACTGCAAAGTCTCGGGTCGACCCCGGCGCGGGCCAACAAAGCCTTCCATTTACAGGAGTCAGGTAAACACTTGACCTATGTGG